GTTCTTTTTGCTTAGGATTGTCTTGGCTATGGAAAGATGTTTCCTAGATAGTCTCTGAGAAAACAACATTTTAAGTGATGATTGGCTAGGAGAATATAAAGAGAATGGCATATACATAATGATAGAGAACTCAGCAGGGCACTGGCTTCTTTTAAGTCTCATCAACAAGTATGTATCGGGAATGTTTTCCTAATATTTGACATGCTAACTTCTATCCCATCCAGAAAATAAAACCACAAATAAAAGGAATTTCTTTCTTTTCCTAAAATAGCTTAATAAGATTAGGAAGACATATTTATTGCTCTGGGTTTAGCTATAAGACCCAAGAAGTTTGCAATCTGTTTGCTTAAGGAGACCTTATACATCAAGAAATATCAAACAATATCTGGTAACATGTGATGTTAGGTTGAGGTATACAATGATACAGAAGATGTTCAAAGGATGGAAAAGATCATAGGCTTGGATAAGCAGGTAACTTCAAAGAGAAGTTATTTGAGCTGGACCTTCAAGAAGAGGCTTTTGAGGGGTAGAGAAAGGACTAATAGGCAAAAAGTTTTATAAAAGATGCAAGTCCTTTTAGAGTGTGGCTTTCCTTAAAGCTTTTAGTTAATGTGAGGATGCTGCTGGAAAAAAATTAAGTCTTGTTGAAATGAAATTAGGGGTTGATGGCAGTATGATATTTGGCAGGTAAATGAAAACATACATGATGAACAGAAAGCTGACTGCCTTTCAGATGTGAAATTTCCTCTTACTGATCTGTAGAGTCAATGACATCCCAATCAAAATTGTAGTATGCTTTTTTTAGGTTTCATTTTGTTTTGTTTTGGGGAGAAATTAATCAGGTGGTTCTAAAATGCATATGGAAATGCAAAGGACCTAGGATAACAACTCTGAAAAAGAAGGACAAAGTTAGAGAACTGATCTTATTTGATTTTTCATGACTTTTTATAAAGCTTCAGTAATCAGGACAGTATGACATTGGTATAGAAATATAGATCAGTGTAATAGAAAAAAAAAGGAATAGATGAAAATGTATGGTAGTTAGTTGACTTTCAATGAAAGTATAATGATAAAAGACTATAATTTTTCCAGTTTCCACTGGAAAAAATACAGTCTTTTCAACAAAGTGCTAGAACAATTAGATATCCATATGGAGAAATAAAAAATTGGATTACAACCCTTATTTCACACCATATACAAAGTTAATTCAAAATTAATTATAGATCTCAATATAAAGCTAATAGTATAAAACCTCTGAAAGAATACAGTGGTGAAATTGTTATAAAATCATGTTAAACAAAGATTTCTTAAACAGGACACAAAGTATGAACTATGAAACAAAAAACTGATAAGTTGAACTTTATTAAATCCAAACTTTTGTTCTTTAAGAGAAATGGTTTAGAAATGAAAAGTAAAGCTATAGATAAGGAGATAATATTTGCAAATATATACAAGAATTTGTATCTAGAATAGGAAGAACGCTAATAACAACAAGAAGAATAACCATAGAATTGTTAAAATGTGAACAGAAGATTCAACAGCCACTTCAACGTGGAAAACATATGACTGGTCAATAGTATGTGAAAATGTATTAAACATGAGAGCAATGAAAATTAAAACTTTAATGAGATATCACTGCACACCTATTAGAATGGCTAAAGATAAGAATCCTGACAATATAAAGTGCTGAGATGGATGTAGAGAAGTGAAATGCTCCCTTATGGCTGGTGGGAATGCAAAATTTTACTGCCACTTAGGAGAACAGTTTGGAAGTTTCTTGAAAGTTAAATATACACTTAACATTTTGATCCAGCAATTCCACTTTAAGATATTTTCCACTGGAAATGAAAACATATATCTACATAAAGTCTTGCATGTGAATGACAACTTTATTCATAATAGACGAAATCAGGAAACAACTTATATTAGGCCGTTCTCGTGCTACTATGAAGAAATACCCAAGGCTGCATAGTTGATAAATAAGAGAGGTTTAATTGACTCTCATTTAGCATGGCTGGGGAGGCCTCAGGAAACTTACAATCATAGCAGACAGCATTTCTTCACAAGGCAGCAGGAGAGAGAATGAGTGTTGCATGAAGGAGGAAGACCCTTATAAAACCACCATATCTAATGGGAACTCTCTCATTGTCACAAGAACAGCATGGGGGAAACCAGCCCCATGATTCAATTATCTCCCATTGGAATCCCTCCCACAACTTGTGGGGATTATGAGATTACAATTCAAGATGAGATTTGGGTGGGAACACAAAGCCAAACTTTATCAAAACTCAAATTTCCACTTTGTACTTTTCCCTCATGTCTTCTAAATGAGACTGGCAGGAGGTGCAACTTTAGGAATCTGTAATTTTCAAAATTGCTTCATTTTACTCTGTTGCAATTAGACAGTTTGGGAACCAGTGCCCTAGATGATCTTATCCAGTAAGATAGGGTCACTGCTAATTCACAGAGTACTTTTTTGCAAATTTGGAAAAACATAGCTTTTTCTGGAAAGTTGCTATCTTACTGGTGTATGATCTGGAGCTAGCATGAGGACTAAATTTCAACTTTCTTTATATTCCCTCATGTGGGAGTTTTAGTTCATTGTTTCATGGATATTATTATTCATTAGATATCCATATGGAGAAATAAAAAATTGGACCACAAACCCTTTTTCACACCATCCTCCTCATGACTCCCAACCTCATCATGAGTAAGCTTAATCTGGCAGAGTATTTAAACCAGGTGAGTCTGGAGTTAGCTTAAAGACTTTATGTTTTTTGTTTTCCTCTAAAGCAAATCTTCAATTTTATTACCACATTGCTATCAAAGGCCTTACTACTTAGAGCTAGAGGTAAAGTAGAAAAAAAGTAGGAGAAAGAAAGTAGAAAGAAAAGTGGAAGAAAATAGGAGAGATGGCTAAGTAGCTCTAAGTGAACCCACTTCCTAGAAAGAAAAGAAGGAATGAAAGTAGAAGTAGATGGTTGTAGCACCATTCATTTTCCACTGTAGAGGAGTGGAGAATAAGCTAGACAGAACTAGAGAAGACCATGCTTTTCTAAACATCTGGGAGGAATGATTAACAAACAGAAAAAGTGATTCTGGACATACTCTGTGGGAGAACAGAGTAACCACATGGATCAAGTGGGAGAAGGCATATATGCAGCTTTCTAGAATTTTTAATCTACTGTAATATTAATCCATTAAATAATTTTCAATCAATTATAATTGCTTATTTCATTTTATTTTTTTGTCATAGTCTGTTGCCCAGGCTGGAGTGCAGTGGCTTAATCTCAGCTCACTGCAGCCTCTGTCTCCTAGGTTCAAGTGATTCTTTTGCCTGAGCCTCCCAAGTAGATTGCCAACACATTATAATTCTAGAAAATTTCCAGGTGGATAACTACCTAAATATGGAAATTTCTTCAAAATAATACATTTTGAAGAAAATATAGGCCCGATGCAGTGGCTTACAACTGTGATCCTAGCACTTTGCAGGGCCAACATAGGAGGATCACTTGAGATAAGGAGTTTGAGACCAGCTTGGGCAACATGGTGAGACCCTATTCCCTGCCTTTCCCCAAAAAGGAAGAAGATATAGAATCTTTTGATAACCTTTGGGCAGAAAAGTACTTCTTAAACAAAACACACACAAAAAACCTACTTACAAATGTGGATATACTTTAAAAATTATTTTTCCTCTAAACCACCTATTTCAAAGAAATATAAAAAGACAAGCTACAGATAGGGTGCAAGTATTTGCAATATGTTTAAGGAAGTATTAATATGCAAGATATATAAAGACATTTCACATGAGTTAATAAGAAAAGTCACTCAAGCCAACAACAGCAGCAGTAACAAATGGGTAAAAGAAATGATTTGACAATTTGTGGAAATAGATAGGTGACTTATAAACATACAAAAAAATATTTGCCCACATTAGTAATCAGGGAAATGCAATTAAAATCACATTGTGATATCTTTTCTCACCTATATGATTGGCAGCACTTAAAGGATCTGAGCATACCAAGTATTCCGAAGGGTGTGCAGATTTGTTAGTGTCTAATAAAGTTGAAAATGGCTATATTCAATTTTGTGGACATCTAGGTTGATTCCATGTCTTTGCTGTTGTGAATAGTGCTGCAGTGAACATGTATATATCTTTTTGGTAGAAAGATTTGTTTTCTTTTGAAATATACCCAGTAATGGGATTACTGGATCACATGGTAGTTCTGTTTTAAGTTATTTGAGAAATCTTTGAACTGCTTTCCACAGTGGCTGAACTAATTTACATTCCTACCAATAGTGTATAAACATGCCCTTTTCTACACATTCTCCCCAGCATCTTTACTTAGTAATAGTCATTCTGACTGGTGTGAGATGGTAACTCACTGCAGTTTTGATTTGCATTTCTCCGATGATTAGTGCAGTGGAGCATTTCTTTTAATGTTTGTTCATCATTTGTATGTCTTCTTTTGAGAAATATCTGTTCATGTCTTTTGCCCAATTTTTAATGGAAATAGTCTTTTTAAAACCTTGAGTGTTTGATTAAGGTCTGGAGCTTCTGTAGTCATCCCTGGGAATCCACAGGGGATTCTTTGTAAGACCTCAGTGGATACCAAAATTTGCACATGCTCAAGTCTCTTACAGTATAGTACAGAAATAATATTTGCATATAACCTGTGTACATCTTTTCAAATAGTTTAAATAATCTCTAGATTACTTATTATATGTAATACAATGCAAATGGTGTATAGTTAAGTTTTTTTAATTTGTACTTTTTTTTGTATTACTATTTAAAAAAAATTTTTCCAAATATTTTATATCCACAATTTGTTGAATCCACAGATGTGGAACCCACTGATACAGAGAGCAGGGCTGACCATAGGTAAAAGATTTTGGATCAAAATGGTATCTTAAAAATCACATATTTTGTCAGCCCATTTGTTGGAAATGATGTTGCATTATTACATAAATTAATTGTATTTTTTTTCCTCTTTCCAAAGAATACAAGTCAATGACCAGATTGTAGAAGTGGATGGAATCAGCTTGGTGGGTGTAACACAGAATTTTGCAGCAACGGTTCTCAGAAACACCAAAGGCAATGTCAGGTAAATATGTGCCTTCTAATATATACCATGTTGTTACTTTAGTGAATTTTAATTTTCTATAGTGTAAACTGCAAATAAATATAATTACAATGACAATTTCATCTGAATGGTAAAACTTTGCATTTAGTTTTAAATTTTTTCATCTGTATTATAATTAGTTTATGAAAATGGAATTTAAATCATTTAAATAGAAAATGGAATTTAAAGTACTTGTCTTCGTGTCTTTCTAAAATACTATGATTTCCAGGAAGGTAGAATTTCTAGCTTTAATTTCAATAAATATGAATTTGGTCTCAAATCCTTTTAAGAAAAATACTTATACAATACTTGAAATTATCATACATATATTCAATGATGTATGTTTTTTAGACACTCACACTGAATAAGGATAAGTATGTTTTTTAATGTATGTATTATTTTAAGGAATCAGCGAGGACCAATGTTTGCTGCATTATAACTTTTCCAACTTAATGGACTTAGGGTGTATTTTTTTTTTTTGGACTTTGAAATTTATATTCAGCCTTGGGATTGTGAATATTGTATATTAGAAAACAAGAAAGAAAGCAATTTTCAGCTAGTGGAAGTCAGGGTTTGAAATCAGGTATTTTTTGCTTATATGTTACTTATTTATCTTAAGTATTGCTTATATCATTTACTTTTCCATACATCTTGTTTAAGAAACATTAAGGAAACATTATTTAGTATGTGTAATGATGAAAGTGGTTGAGTGTTCTCATTATCAAAATGAAACTGCTAAATATTCTGAAAATATTAATAAGTTGACATTGCTATATAGACAATATTAGGATATTGTTGCTGCATGTTTTATTTTGCCGAAGCATGAATTTAAGTTTTAGACTTCAGACTTTTTTCAATTGTAAATTATCTTCTAATGCTAAAGGGATGCTTTAAGGAATACAACCTAAACTACTTCTGTGGGCGCTATGTTGATGTTTCTAGAATATTCACAGCCTTGAGAAAAGTATGTAAAATAATTGCAAAACTGTGTGGTGCTGTCTGAGTTGTGTGGGTGGGCCCATTCAGTAAATGTGATTGTCTTTTTGAAGATCACAGTGTGTTCTTAAGACATTTTCCCATGTCAATATAGAACTTGGTTTTGAAGCTGTCCATTAGACTTTACATTTAAAAATGAAATAAGTAAGATGTACATTCAACTCATAAGAACATTTCTCAGTTGGAAAATAATGTGTTGTTACCTGAAACCGTAGCCATCCCTTTTTTTTTCCTCTGACTGTTGACTGCATACTCTTGTGTTGTTATATTCAGCCTTGTACAAATTTCAAATGTCTTCAAATGTCTTCTTAACTGTTGTGTCTGATTTCACATTTTCCCTTCCTCAGTCTGTTCTGTTCATCACTACCTTCATGGAAGTACATAATTACAGTTTTCAAATATATGAAGGGCCATAATGGAAAAAGATATTGATATTATTCTGCTTAACGCTAGTACAAGTTGAGTATCCCTTATGTGAAATTCCTAGAGCCAGAATGTTTCCGATTTTGGATTTTTTTTTTCATGTTGGAATATTTGCATTATATACTTAGTAGCTGAGAATCCCTAATGTGAGAATTTGAAATCTTAAATACTCCAGTGAGTAATTCCTTTGAGTGTCATGTCAGTGCTCAAAAAGTTTTGAGTGTTCCGAACATTTTGGATTTTATATATTTTCATTTGGTATGCTCAACCTGTATAAACATCCATGTGCAGGTTTTTTTTTTTCTTTCTTTTTGGAGACAGAGTCTTGCTCTGTCACCCAGTCTGGAGTGCAGTGGCACAGTCTCGGCTCACTGCAATCTCTGCCTCCTGGGTTCAAGCAATTCTCCTGACTCAGCCTCCCAAGTAGCTGGGATTACAGGCATGCACTGCCACACCCAGTTAATTTTTTTATTTTTAGTAGAGACGGGTTTTGCCATGTTGACCAAGCTGGTCTTGAACTCCTGACCTCAAGTGATCCGCTTACCTCGGCCTCCCAAAGTGCTAAAATTACAGGTATGAGCCACTGTACCCGGCCTCACTTGCAGGTTTTTGTGTGGACATAAGTTTCTACTCCACTGGGTAAATACAAAGCATGGTGCACAATTGCTGTATCATGTGGTAAGTATGTGTTTAGTTTTTTAAGAAACCACCAACCCGTCTTCAAAGTGGCTGTACCATTTTGTATTCCCATCAGCAGTGAGTGAGAGTTCTTATTGCTCCACATCCTTGCCAGCATTTGTTGCCAGTGTTTTGAATTTTGACTATTCAAACAGATGTATAGTGGAATCTGATTGCTTTAATTTCCATTTACCCCTATTATCTATTAATATTTACAATTAGTAATGAAAAGTTTCATGTTGTTATGTTTGTAGTCCTTTATAGTATTTTCTTTTTTCCTCTCTCTTTTGGATTTTTTTCTCTCATAATTGAGTGTTTTAATTTTTATCAGGTTGTAACTAGATCTGTGTTTGCTTATTTGGTTTTTGTAATTCTGCTTGGGATTCAATCTGAAGATTTGGGTTTGGGAAATTTTCTATTATGCTTTGGTTATTTGCTTAATTTCTTCTGGATTGTCTTTGGCCTTTCTTCTCAAACCAGTATTAAATGGGGCTTAGCTTTTCTGGGCATATCCTCTAGAATCTTTTTTTCTCTCAAGATCTCCATCTGTTTGAATTTTTGCTGGTACGTACTAAGAGTTTCTTCAGTTTCTCTTCCAGATTATCATTTTTTTTTTCAGGAATGGCCTATTTTAACTGTTTGTGCTTTATTCTCCATTTTCTGTTTTTATCTCTAGCTCCATTCTCTCTGCCCAGAGCTTAAGAATAGTAAATCCAGCTTCCTACTTGACATCTTCATATGGCATTCTTTCTGATTACAACATCCAGAAAGAGTCGACCCTGCACCAGGTCCTATGTCTGAGGGGTGGCTGTTAATTTTTCAGTCTTGCATTCGCAGTGCCCAGTGATGGCAATACTCTGCACTATAGCCATTTGTCCCAACTTAAGTTTAGAAATTAACAAGTTTCAGTAATAGCTGAACCTGTTCAAAATGTTAATAAAGGTTTTGTTGCATGGTAAAAAAAAAATTAATATACTCCAAGTATTATCCTTTATTTAATATACTCCAAGTATTATCCTTTATTTGTGCCATTCCTTGTCTTCTGCCCCATATTTCTGCCTCACTCCTTCCCTGCAAAAAAAACCTCTGTATCAAATGACATGTAATTGGCTGGTTCCACCTTATCAAGTCTCAGTTCAAATATCACTTCAGTGAATGAGCTTTTCTTATATTTATGTTGACCAAACTCCAGTTCACTCTATCTCAATTACCATGTTTTCTACATACTGATCCTCTTCTGATCCTTTCCTCCTGGTTATTTATTCTTTTTTGGGTTTCCTACACTATTGATTCCTGTCTAGTACTAGTATGATGATATGAATATGAAAGTAATGATCTATGACTTTTAAGGCTAGGTTATGAAAGGCACTGTGGCTTTCACCCTGCTCTTTTGGATCACCAATTCTAGGGAAATACAGCTGCCATATCAAGAATGCCTTCAAATTCTCTTTTGAAGATGCCCACACAGGGAGGATTTTTGGCCTGCCAGCAACCAGCATTAACTTAACCAGCCATGTGGGGAGGCACCTATGAAAATCTTCCAGGCTTAATAAAGCATTCAGATGCCTGATTGAATTTTGCGAGAATCACCAAGCCACAATTAAACAGACAAGCCTCCCTTGAAACTGTGAAAGATAATAAATGTTTATCAGTTTTGGGGTAATTTGTATCAGTAGCCACAACTTATACATATTTTGGTATCTGAATGTGGGCTGCAGTTTAACAAAAAACTGAAAATGTGGGAGTAGCTTTGGAGCTGGACTGTTAGTGAGGCTGCAAGGACTGTGAGGAGAGTATTAGTAAAAGCCAAAAAGACCTTATAATGATTTTTGGGAGAAAACTGAAGTCCTCTTAGAAGGCAGCTGGTGAGGGCTTTAAGAAGAAAACTGTAAATGTTATTGAAAATTGGGCTGGGCACAGTGGTTCATGCCTGGAATCCCAGCACTTTGGGAAGAAGAGGCAGGTGGATCACCTGAGGTCAGAAGTTCGAGACCAGCCTGACCACCATGGTGAGACCCCCCCATCTCTACTAAAAACACAAAATTAGCCTGGTATGGTGGCACATGCCTGTAATCCCAGCCACTTGGGAGGCTGAGGCAGGAGAATCACTTGAACTTGGGAGGCAGAGGTTACAGTGAGCCAAGATTATGCCATTGCACTCCAGCCTGGGCAACAAGAGCGAACCTCCATCTCAATTTAAAAAAAAAAAAAAAATTGAAAGAAAGAGGATCTTCATTATGTAATAACAGAAAGTTTAACAAAACTTACCTGTAGTAATGTGAAAAGTAAAATATTGACTGGGGCATTTAACTCATAAGATTTCAAGCCATAGTGTTGAAAGTGTCACTAGCTCCTTCTTGCTGTATATAAGTAAAATTTATGAGAAGGTAGATAAGCTAAAGGAAGAACTGTTAAAAATAAAGCAAGTTAAACAAGCTAGAAAACTTCAAGAAAATGGATAAATTTCTGGGTACATATATATGGCCTATGAAGACTGAATCAGGAAATAGAAAGCTGTAACAGACCAATAATAAGTGATGAGATTCAATCAGTAATAAAAAGTTTCCCAACAAAGAAAAGTCCAGGACCAGATGACTTAAATGCCAAATTCTAGCAAGCAAGAACTAACACCAGTTCTCCTCAAACTATTCTAAAAAATTGAAGGAGAGTGACTTCTATGCAGCTTTAAAAAAGAATGAGTTCATGACATTTGCAGGGACATATATGAAGCTGGAAACCATTATTCTCAGCAAACTAACACAAGAACAGAAAACCAAACACTGCATGTTCTCACTCATAAGTGGGAGTTGAACAATGAGAACACATGGATACAGGGAGGAAAACATCACACACAGGGACCTGTCGAGGTGTGGAGGGCTAGGAGA